TATATTAGTTTCATTATAATTTATTATTACTATTGTTGTTGTTGCAATTATTCAGCTCTTTTTTGAAATTCCCAAACCATTTGATGTCATGATGAGCATTGCCACTGGAGAAACATGGCATCGCATTCGTACCACAATATCCCCAACATTCAGTGCTCATAAAATGAAACTGATGATTCCGTTGATGAACAAGTCATGTGACCTACTGGAGAAGAAGCTGGATCAAGTGGCAGGGACTGGGGAGACTATTGATATTTACAAGTGAGTCTATTTAGTTATCATTAATGAATACTCTTTAGTTTATATGTTGATGATAAAAACATTGTTTTTGCAGATGAAAATATTGCAGTGTGACTRCTCCAACCAAAGCYACCTCRACAAATTTTCTCCAAATTATCCAATAGTATTTGAGTATCACCATGTTGCTAGGCGTCAGTGCGTTCATATTCTACAACACAGGTGCCGGCAGTCTTCTCARCCRTGTAAACCCATGGATATCTGTCCGATTTGTAGCAATTYTATTGTTCAGATTCCTACTTATGTTTGGCTAATTTGTATAAAATTTGTCAAGGTTGCTTTGGTTGGAGTAGTCACACTGTAAAGAAATAYGTAAGAAATATTTTGTTTTTGAATGTTATCATAATTATGCATTTTGTAAAAGCTACATGTATCTGTAATCACTCAATAAAGTATATCAATATATATTTTWAAAAATATGCACAGTGATCCAAAAGCTTATAAYCATAAACGTTGCAGCACCAAAAGTTTTAAAATTTTGTTCCCAGTCTTTTAAATTGTAACAGGAAAAATCATGAAAGCTAGGTCCACAGTCAAGAGTTTATTTGTACTTTATCATTACTTGTTTACAGAGCTGTACATAGCCAAAATCTGGTGTCTGTCAAAGGGTTGAATAACAGCACCACTAAAAAGAATTTAGCTTTTGTTGGAGGAAGAGGGCATTGGGTATAAAAAGGGCACAGCATATACAATAAGTTTTGATTTAGTAAATCAAATATTTCAATATAATTCCTTAGGTATCATCAAGGTCTGACAATGGAGGGRATTTTGTCAACATTTTTTGGCATTGAGTCCAATGCTCAGAATGATTACAATGACCCAGCATTCAAGGCAGCACGAGAGAGTCTTGACCCAGGTCCTTTCAGGAGATTCATCACCGCATTTGTTGGGATTTTACCTTTTGGATCATACTTTGTGAGATATTTTCCAAGTTTTTTCATTGGCCAGTTTCAAAACCTTGTTCATTTGACTGAAAAGATTATTGAAGCAAGAAAAAAAGAGGGAGATAGTGCGAGAAAGGTAAGAAAAGTTTTAGCAAAGAGCTCCTCCCTTTACCTCTCCTCTCATCTCCTCTCCTCTCCTCTCCTCTTTATAATGAAATTCGCCGACGATTTTTTGATATGATASAACCTGAAATATCTGTTGACAATTTTAAAGATCTTAACCTAATTCGTAACTTAATGATCTCTACCAATGACAAGGTTATTTTTTATTTTTCTAAGTTTATATACAAATGCTTCATTCTTAGGAATGAATCATAATAATTGATGTAATGTATTAATGATTACTTTTGATAAATTTATCTTTGATTATTATTACCATTCAATTAAGATTTTAGTATATTTGTAATACTCATACCTATTTTTTTTAAATATGTTACTTTACATATAGATATATATATAGATATATAGATATTTTTCTTATTACAATGTGTTTGTAAAATATAACAAACAAAAAAATTCCTGTTAATGTTCAATGCTTTAGCAATACCTGTGAATCGTAGGTCATGCCAATAAAGCTATTTCAAACCTCTCCTCTCCTCTCCTTTCCTCTCCTCTCCTCTCCTCCCCTCCCCTCCCCTCCCCTCCCCTCTTCTGTCTCCTGTACCTCATTATTTGTCTTTTCAATCAAAGGATGTTCTAGACTTAATGCTTAGTGCCACCCAACCAGACGTAGCAGAACAAAAAACGTTATCAGAATACGAAGTAATCGCCCAGAGTATGATATTCCTTTTTGCTGGCTATGAAACGACTAGCATCACCTTGGCACTAACTTGCCATCACCTAGCAACCAACCAAGATTTCCAGGAAAAGTTACAGAAGGAAATCGATGACGTGTGGAGGGATGAAGATCAGCCACCATCATACGAAGTCGTTCAGTCCTTACCTTACCTTGATATGGTGATCTCGGAAACACTTCGTCTCTACCCTCCAGGTAAGTAGTACATGGTATATATATTTTGATATTTTCTCTTACTGTCAAATTTAATTACATCGCRACTACCAAAACCGGGGCCACCTACATTGAGATGACCAATCAAACTGTAGGATTAATACGATATATACATTCTAACTTTGGGTAGCGGAGCCCATCAACAACCAGCAGAAAACAACTGCTGCCAAAGATATAATTTTATTCTCGCGAGAAAATGATGATGGCTATCGAGATGCTTACACATAATATCAGGGTACCATTCTGGTTTCTGATTGGCTCGACCACCCAAAGTTGGAATGCATTGTTTTCAKTCTAGATTTTAATTGGTTCTCTTTTCTAAGTGGCCCCAGTTACAGTAGTTGCACTGTAATTGGCAGGGCAAACATGCGATTGACATTCCATTGTTTTATTAGGTTTCTTTCTCGCACGAGAATGCACCAAGGATTGTGTCATCAAAGGTCTGCACATCAAAAAAGGAACCCCAGTTATCACTCCAGCCTACAGCATTCATCGCGACCCAGAATTCTATCCTGACCCCGAGAAGTTTGACCCAGAACGCTTTAGCGCCGAGGCCAAGGCGTCACGTGATCCCTACGCCTACCTTCCCTTTGGTCAAGGTCCACGTAATTGTATTGGGATGAGATTCGCTCAGATGGAGATGAAGCTSGCTTTGGTTCGCATCCTGAAGAGATTCACTCTTGTGGTTGCACCAGAAACGAAGATCCCTCCCGTGATTGTGGCCAAACCTAGTATATTGGGTTGTGATGGCGTAAAACTGCGCGTGCAGCAAAGAAAATAACCCAACCCTCACACAATTTAAGCCCGACCGAAAATAAGCCCCTAAATTTGGAACGTAAAAACCGTGTCTTTAGTATTGAGGCCAAGCAGTTTGAACATTTGTAGAGAGGGGGGAGGGTATTCTGTTCATTTCAAAAACCCCTCCCAGATATAACTGTATGTAATAGCATAAAATGTGTTGATGTTCCAAGAATCAAATTTGAGAATACGTCCTCATTTTAATGACGGAAAAATAAATAGATGTGTCAATTTTGTTTTTGTTTTTTTACGTTTAGTATTTTCCTTTTCTTTTTCGATTTCTCCAATGAAACCATATGAACTTCTTTGGGATTCCTTTCCGTGGATTTAGTCGTCTGCGGATGTCTCGGGGGTATGGCAAAGTAGAATCGCATTTTTTGAATTTCTTTTGGTGGGTTCGAATTCCATCTTAACCACATAAGATTTTTTTTGAATCCATATTTTGCTAGATTTAAATCTTCAACAATAAGGCAATCTTTTTAGTGAAAAAGGATTTATTCCTATTCGGTTGCTTATAAGCCWGTATAAGTTCGACCAGACGTTATCAGTAATATAAGCAATATCGATCCACGAAAGGTAGAGCTATGCTTTCCTATTCTTGACAAAGTTTGCTGACAATACCATTTACTGCACTTGGATCTCTATATCATATGCCCGCAAAGGACTAGTGGGTGGTGCCGTGAAGACTTCTGGGTACTATTGTGCAAATTCTGCATTTTCTAACAAGGAAAATAAACAGCCACCCCAGTAAATAATATAACAACAAAGGATTGTAAAAAGATAAGAAAATCAATTGGYGATTCTGACTGAGAACATTGGGATATTTGATCTAGTTGCGTCATGGCGCAAGTTCAAATTCACAAAGTAGTGTGACATGCATAACGCAAAACTGTTTATTTCGTGGTCTAAAAAAGGGCAGAACCTGCAAATATTTTATTATGTAGAGAACGCCTTAAGGGAGAAGATCGTCTTAGAAGAGTTGAACGAAATCATTCTTTTCTGAGAAATATTCCATTATCTTTTGACTAACATTGCAAATTTAGCTGTACTAAGCTCTCTGTCACATGATACAGGCAACCCAGTGAACGCCTATAGGGCGTCGTCTTAATATATAATGGGAAGTATTATATTTTTGTGAATCTTCGATGGAGTATAGGCCCTATTGGATTCACACTAAACATCGCTCYAAATACGTACGGTTTCTCTGTTATTTTTTGATCGAAATATCCGCTACTTTCCGAATACTCAGTATTTAAAAAAAAGAGACGAAAAAAGCAATTATATGCATAAAAAAAAAAAGGAATGAATAAAGCGATTTTATGACCTCGCAGACTCCAATAAAATTCATAATCATAAAAATTAAGCTTTTCCCGTCGGAATATCAAGCAAAAGCTTTCATTGATTAGAACCTTAAAGATTATTCCAGTGAAGTTTCGGCAGAATTAATATCTTTATTTCAACGCGGACCCTCGTCATACGGTATGCTCGTAGAGAGCCACGATATAACTAACAATAAATATATGAATTTAAAAAGATGAAACTAAAACCTAACATTTTATATAGTTTTAAATCTACTGACAAATTGCTTATAATTAGGTGCTGATATTATTAGTTAATTAGAATTATTAATGTAGCACTTACAGCCATTCTCGGTAACACGTGGGTGGAGCGTCGTGTGAATAGAATATTGAACGTTCAAGTGGTAGTGCGTGTGAGCGAAAAGTGTCCCCAATTAGTGCGAAAGCGCTAGAACGACTAAACACCTGAATAAAGATATTCATTTTATTTATTTAGCTTTTGATTGACGCCCACCAAGCTATGTCTGAAGCGATACTGAATTTTGATGTGGGTAMTTCAAAATTACTGAGCTGTGTTCATATTAGTGCCAACTCGTGCACTGTTCTCAGGAACTAAATGTGAACACGCTCTTAAAACACTCAAAACGTGTACAAACGCGAATCTTTTGGCAATAAACTGCTAAATTTAAAAATATAAATTAACCAAGTCATAGAAGTTTTCTTCAATAGGCGTTGTTCTTTGTACGGATAACATTTAGTTGAAACCAAGGTAGTTTTTCTTACTTATATGATCTGATTTCTTCTCTAATGAAATTTAGTATGCTTCTCAAGAAACTACATGAGGGAATCAGCAAGCCGTTTAGTTTATGTTTTTCCGTTAACTTTCATAACAGCTATCTTTCGTTCCTCGGTTTCTATAAAGTGTTAAAGCACGACAGCGCCATGGCTTAGGACAAAATAATAGAAATTTTATGTTAATCGAAGGATCTTATGGTGTCTCTTGCCGAAACATTGTACTGTTCGCCATACGACTGATGACTATCGTGAACCATTCTATTGAATTTATGTTTTTATCTGTTTTGCAGTTATACAGCCAATCACCTAACTGAAAGTACGCAATGAAGTCTCTGGTCATTGTATTTCTGTTCATGGTTGTCATGAATGAAGGTAAAAATGTTCATATTGCTACAGGAAGCCTAAGCGATGTTCTTGTACCTTATTACTAACGAATGTATGTGGAATTGTGTATCATAAGAATATGTATAATAATTTTTGTAGTTAGCTTACCACGTTTTTACTTGTGTATTCTTGCTGTTGTTCTTTGTCTCTGTACGCGATTTGAAGCCAATCCGTTTTAACCAGCTTTTTACGGGCCTTCCAATATAGTGATATTATATTTGTAACACCTTCATAACAAAATACCTGACATGTAAACGGGCCATGACAGAAATGTTCATAACTACACCTTCACTATACATTTTCTTCGCACAGTGATGTTCTCATCTTGCAAGAAATCGAATGTCCAGTGAATGTCTCCTTCTCGGAGAGCCATTTTCAAAGGCTAGTCAACAGTCAACGCCTTCACTATACAATTTCTTTTCCACAGTGATGTTCTCATCTTGCAAGAATTTCATCTTGAGTGAAAATGAAGGAAAGAGTTTTCAATCTGACCCCGAAGGTCGAATGATGAACAAGCGTACGTCGCTTGATGAGGAATGCTGTCACGAGGGATGTAGCACTGAAGAGGTCCATGAAACTGGAGACAAACGAAGTCATGTCCAGGTACKGTGGAAACTAGTTATACTTTATCAGTAATGTTACTTAGTGCAAGTTTTATTTATCATAAACGCTTAACCTCAGGTGTGTTGACCATTCAAACCAAACGCAAGGGAGAATTTTTGCCCGGGGGGGCTCCCATATAAAGAGGCAGGGATGCTCGACGTAACTTTTAGGGTTCCAGACAGATCTGCAACTTTTTACCTCTTAGGGTGCCACAAATCTCAAAGGACCAGCAGAGAGTAAGCCAGTACCTCTTAGGATGTTTGACAGGATATTTATTCATCATCTTATTTCTGTTACTTAGCACTCATAGATAAATGCGTTTATCCGTATTGTTTTAATAGTTGATACTCTAAGGGGTAAAACTCAGTAGTTGYCACGCCCACCTGGACACGACTTAGATAGCCCCAAGCATCCCCGCCCCCTACTCKTCCCCCTCCGGGGAATATTTGCGTTAGCAGAATAGTGGTCTCATAAGCTGGGGAAGGGGGGGACTTACGGTATGCTATTTTCTACTGATCCGCTCATCCAGCAATGCAGCTCACATCATTGTTCTCAAATATTTCTTGTATTTAATCTGATACCTTTTTCTAGTTGGTTCATGTGTCTTATCATCTCATACTGTTGATATTTTTCAGTGGATAAAAGCCAACTGTCCTAATAACGTTAACACAACTTCTTCCAGTTCCGGATGAGGCCTGATAAGCACAAGAATAATTAACGGGCTGTAACTAATCTAATATTAAGAGAGAATTCTTTTCGTATTCA